AAACTACAGTGTACAGTTTTAGTCCCATAGTCCCTATCTAGAATCAGTGTTTGGTTTGTCAGTTATGGACTACTGTAGAAGCGATTCAACATGACGGACTCCGTAGACCCACTCTCGCTGTAAAAACAGGTCTTTCTAAGGTAACAAACACACAACAATTCTTATTTTCAGGTGATTATACCCTAATAAAAACATTAGCTATTAGCTATCGCTATCACTGTAATTTTACCTTGCATATCATTGTAACATCACAACTTCATTCAAAGACTGAACTGACAAACTGACAAAAACAGTCTTTGTTATTCTACTGTTCCAACAATCATAAACTCTGCAATGGTTGAAATAAATCCTTTATTCACAGGATTGACAGATGAGAAAAACTGCAGTTTCAGTTGCTCTACCCAGCTGCACAAGGTGCAGACAGGCCATGTAAACAAACCATAGAGAGGCTACAATAGCAACACAGTTGCTTTATATCTTTACATAGCAAATTGTTGTCTGCTGCTATATTAATGTTGTAAAACTCATATATAATCTTTAAATATGTACCAAGAGTTGTATGCATGGATCTTGTGGCTCTCGCACGTGTGGGAATGCACTATAATACACTGTTAATTTACTTTGGAGGTTTTATTCACGGTTTTTGTCACAAAAACATCAGAGTGCATAAATGTTAACATTAGTACTGTATATGCAGCAATATAAATACAATGATATCATACATTTAAATGAGAGCAATGACCTGCTTACAGATTCTCTAATTTGATTTAAGTGTAAGTGTAAGTTTGTATACCGCCATAAGACATTGTGGTAATTATAGCAAAAGTGGTGTTTTTAACAGAAAACCTTTACAGATATTTCATACTTTTCAACTCTATTTCAACACTGCAAATAAAAAGTGTGTGCGGTGGCCTCTGATCCCACCTTTTTCAGAAGTACTACTAGAGTCACTAGTACATCAGCAAAACTTAATTTCACCTTCACCTCCTCCTCAGGCATGTTACGGGCGCCACGATGATGCCGGTGTGGAAAAGGTCAAAGCCCTGTACAACACCTTGCAAATGCAAGCCCTGTACCACAGATATGAAGACGAGAGCTACCAGCGGCTACAGAAACTCATCGCTTGTCACGCTCAAAACCTTCCTCACTCAGTCTTCCTCAACTTTGCCAAGAAAATCTACAAGAGGAACAAGTGAGAGGGAACGGTCATGAAGAGGGTCAGGTGCATCAGCCCGGTTCACTTTTGACTTTTATCACAACACACAGATAAACTCCTCCCTCTTTTAAAGAGGGTGTTTTTCAGGGACGAGGCTCTGACTACAAACAGCATGACCCGAACACGGCTGTGATATTTAGAAATCCTGCAGGCAGTTTCTTAACTTTGCAATGATTTGTAGATATTTGTGAATGTTATCACACGGCCTGTCTCTTTTGTTCAATGTTTATTTATTGAACCCAGTGCGTAACGTGCAGTGTCTCCACTCATGTCCGCTGAAGAATATGATATTCTCCAAGAATGACACTGAAATGAATCGCACATGGTCTACCTGTCATATTTGTCTGCCCTGAAGAACACATGGCACTGGAGATAGAAATGAAATCATTTATTTTGTAGGAATGGATATATGAATTGATTATGGACTTTAAGGGACAGTACATATATGATAGTAGACATATTCTGACAGAGAACAAACATGATCAGTTTTCTTATTCCATTTATTTTTATATTGCTGCTATAAAGTCTGTACTGGCCAGAATGTTTTTGCTTTTAATAAATAATTTATGAGCAGTATTTTTCTTCTCTCTTTTTTTTTGTGTTGGCTGTAGAGCGGAAAGTAAACAAATATAT